ATAAAAAGAATAAAAAATGCCCTTGAAATATATTTATTGTTTTCCAATACAGTTTTGTCAGATTATTTCACTTTGTCAGCTTTTGCAGCTAAAAGGGCCTTTCCAGTTAACTTCAGCTGAACTAGTCAAAACACTGTGTTTTAGCTCAAATAGCCGTCTAAAGAATCTGCATCTTGTGTGATGTGTTTTTCCCCCTTTGGAGAAATAAAAGAGAAAAAAAGAAAATGTCTTTTGCAATGGCAAATATCCTTTCCAATAATGGGCAAAGACCAGCCTTCTTCTTTCCTCAAAAGAAATGGGAGGACTCCAAGAACCTAAATCCTGTAGCATGTGAACGTGTCATGTGTAAGATCTGAAACTATTACAGAGGACCTAGGGCACATTTAAACTCTTACTTGTTTATGCAAACACAATTTGAGAGTAAAATCTTAAATGTTTTCTTTCCCCTAAAGTTCTTTCTTCACCAGATGTCCATGTTCACATCATGTTTACATTCATGTTGTATTCTCATAAAACCAAGAGAACTAGAGGAGTTTTGTTTGTTTAAGGCTGGGCCGCTAAGGAGTGTTTGTAAAACATTTTCCTTACATAGGAGCACAAAAATGAAACAAAATGCCCTTTTGCTTCTGGCTTGCTTCTCACTGGCCCATTTTAACTTTCAGTTACTGCTATCCTAGATAAACTCTGTTAATTCTCATTATTTAGTTTCATTCAGAGTCACTGGTAGAATTTGAATTGTTAAAGTAATCTTGTGTTTCTCTTATTAGATTTTTATATAGGTTTAGTTTACAAACAGTAAAATCCATGTGTCTTAATTGTCCAATATTCGTATTGATCTACTATATCCGGGTCAGTGAGGACTACTTTCTCAAAGTCACCTTGGAAACTCTTTAACATGTTGGCAGTTTGGAACTATTGCCTTTTAAAGAACCAAATTGAGTTATATACATAAAGCTCATGATATGTCATGGAATCTCACACAGAAAAAGTTAGTTAATGAATTTAACTTTGTAATTGTTTTTAGTTATTTTGTGTGCATGTGTGGGTGTGTGTTCCATAGCATGTACTTGGAGATCAGAAAACAACTTACAGGAGTTGGTTCTCCTTCCACCACGTAGGTCCAGGGGATTGAACTCAGGTCCTCAGGCTTAGTGGCAAGAACCTTTACCTACTGAGGCATTTGCCCACCCAAGGTTATTTTTTTTTTAAGATTTTATTTTTATTATATATACAACATTCTGCTTCCATGTATATCTGCACACCAGAAGAGGGCACCAGATCTCATTACAGATGGTTGTGAGCCACCATGTGGTTACTGGGAATTGAACTCAGGACCTCTAGAAGAGCAGTCAGTGTTCTTAACCTCTGAGCCATCTCTCCAACCCACCCAAGATTATTTTTAAAACATTCCCATGAACCTTTTAATGGTGCTTGTCATATTGGCTTTTGGATGAGATTCTTTTTTTTTTATCTTTTTAATTTTTTTATTTTTTGGTTTGTCAAGACAGGGTTTCTCTGTGGCTTTGGAGGCTGTCTTAGAACTAGTTCTTGTAGACCAGGCTAGTCTTGAACTCACAGAGATCTCCCTGCCTCTGCCTCTCGAGTGCTGGGATGAAAGATGTGTATTACCACTGCCAGGCTTGAATGAGATTCTTAATTTATGTATTTTTATTTGTTTTTAGAAAATTAATGCCAAAGTTCATGATGGAGTATGTCAGCGCTGCAAAGAAGTTCTTGAGTGGCGTGTAAAATACAGCAAGTACAAACCACTGTCAAAACCTAAGAAGTGGTGAGTCAAGTTTCTTAAATTCCTTCCCAGTGATGCGTGTGTCATAGTGTCTTAGTCCATTTCCTGATTCTCAAATTTGTCTAGATAAACTTGAAAGAAAATAAAAAGAAATCTTTGCCTCTAGTGTAGAATTTCATCTTGAATACTGAGTCTTAGTTTATGAAAGCAGCAGATGGAAAAATAGATTGATCAATCCTGACTCATGATTTTGTACAATTTTTATAGAAACTTTTTCTAAGAGTGGAAAAGGCCTCGGTATTACAAAATCTTGTTTTCCACTGACTAAGTAATAGTATTTACTATAGAGCGTTGTTTATGATTTTTGTTTTAGAGAGGATGACCTAGACCAGCCTCCAACTAATGACCCTCACACCTCAGCCTCCAGAATGCTGGGATTTATTGGCCTGTGCCACCATATACAGACATGACAATTCTTAAAAGGAGTCTGACATCTTAATTCAAACCATGAAGATTACTAAAATGACCTGGGTTGACTGTCTTATGTGAATTACTGTTTATAATTTGCAGTTTCATTCATTGGGTCAAGATGAAAAGATACTCAGCTTAGTTTCTCATCTGTCTGCCCCTAACCTTTCTATAATTATGGGTCACTTTTGCGTCATCCTTATATACATCCTTTTTTTCAGCTGAGTAAGGACAGTTAAATAATAGGTGTGTCAAAGAACACGACTGTAATTACTATAAATATTAGTAATTCTTTTTTTTTTTTTTTGGTTTTTCGAGACAGGGTTTCTCTGTGTAGCTTTGGAGCCTATCCTGGTACTCGCTCTGGAGACGAGGCTGGCCTCGAACTCACAGAGATCCACCTGCCTCTGCCTCCCGAGTGCTGGGATTAAAGGTGTGCACCACCAACGCCCAGCCAGTGTATTCTTTTTATATTATTTAATTTGGTGTTCTGTGTAGTAGTTATTTAGAACAAAGTTGGTCATTGTTGCTTTATATATATATATATATAGAGAGAGAGAGAGAGTAAAAATACTAAAACTATTTAGTAGTAGTCTTTCTTGAACATACACTTCTTTTTACTTGATACTTACGTATCTATTTGTCTGTTTATCTAATCTAACTATTTGATTAAACCATTCAAGTTACCTGCAAAGTAACTGGTCTCTTTATGGCATTTGCATATACTGTATCTTTATACATTTTTCTAATACAGTGTTTTCCCCTTTGGCTGCCCCCTTTTTGCCCATCCTCTTCCTCCTTCCAAATAGTCCCTACTTCTGCTTTCACGCCACAAATGTTCTATTACCCTCACTTATCTCCTTCCTTCATCCCTTAAGGTTTTGTCTTCCACTTTCATGGTTCCCTTTCTAATTGCATGGCACACACAACAACCTAGATCTACATGGGAGAGAAGACAGGCAAGATTGTTGTTTGTAGTAATTCCCAGTTCCATCCATTTTTGTTCAAATGTCATTTGTTTTTCTGTGTGACTAACTTTTCATCATATATATGAACCATCCATGTTCTTTATACCTATTCATCTATTGAGGGTTGTGTAGTGTACTTTCTAGCTATCATAAATAGAGCAGCAATGAATGTGGATGTGCAGGTATCTCTGTGGAATGTTGACTTAGTCCTTCTGGAATATACCTAGGGTTGATGTAGTTGGGTCCCCACTTGTTAGGTGTGTATGCTTGTTTGTTTCCGTTTTGAGGAACCTCCCAACTGATTTCTATAGTGGCTGCACAAATTTCCATTCGTATCAGGAGTTTGTAAGCGTTCTTTCCTCACACCCTTGACTCGTTGATGTGTATTCCCAGCCCCTCATTTGTTTTCTTGATGATAGCCATTCTGATCTGGGTAAGATGTATCCCCCCATTTCTACCTCCCTAGCACTGGGATTACAGGTCATAACTGCCATAAACAGCCTTTTTATGTATGTGCTGGGATCTGAACTCAGATCCCCATGCTTCTGTGCAGGCACTTTCCTAACCGAGCCGTCTTCCGAGATCCCGATTATTGTTTTATATTGCTGACTTTTTTCCCTAGGTTCTGGGTTGAATTAGTCTGGTATTGGTATCTGTTTTGCATGTGTTCATTTCTTTTGTTTGTTTGTTTGAGACAAGGTCTCACTATGTAGCTATAGCTGTCCTGGAACTCCCTGTGTAGAAACTCACTGTGTAGACCAGGCAGGCTTTGAATTCATAGAGATCCAACTGTCTCTGCCTTCCGAGTGCTGAGATTAAAGGGGTTTGCCACCACTTCCTGACAGGTTGTTCATTTCTCATAGTAAACTTTGGATCTCCTGGCATTGTGCCCAGTCTGGTGTCTCTGAACAGTTGTGCTATGTAGGTTTCTCATGTTTCCTACATTTCTTTTTTGGGATTTGATCATCTGCTGGGATGTCCCTTTTTGTTGTATTTGAGGATCTTATTGATTAGTTTCCTCTTGAGATCTCAGTTAGCCATATGATTCAGAGGCTTCCAGGTCTGTGTACAAGGGTGGGAGCTGACTGCATTGTAGACTCATCTTTCCTGTGCTTTATACTGATATTGAACCTTTGTGGCACAAGTGTTCAGTGGCCTCCGGCATTGTCTTCACTTGAGTAGTTGTAGTAGTTTGAAAGAAAATGGTCCCCCAAAGGAGTGACAGACACAAGGAGGGGTGCCCTTGTTGAAGTAGGTATGGCCTTTTAGGAGGAAGTGTGTCACTGCGGGGACAGGCTTTGAGGTATCTTTTGTTCAAGCTTCACTCCATGTGACACTCGCCTACTTCCTGTTGCCTGCAAGACTCGGGACTCTCAGCTCCTCCAGCACCATGTCTGTGGGCATGCCACTGTGTCCCACCATGGTGTTGATGGACTGAACCTCTGAACTGTAAGTGAGCCACCCCAATTAAATGTTTTTCTTTATAAGAGTTGCTGAGGTCATGGTGTCTCTTCACAGCAGTAGGAACCCTAATTAAGACAGAAGTATACCATCTTTCTGTATCAGGAGCCTATGTTAACACATTGGACTCTGCAGTCTGTGGGCCAGGCAGCTTTCTCTCGCCCTCCTGAGACTTCAGTGATCATGCCCAAGGTAGCTTATGTTTTAGCTAGGGAACATCTCACTAGAACATCAGGAGTGGGGAAGCAAGCACAGCCCTGAAGGCTGTACACAAAGTCATGTTCTTTAAGCCTTTTAAAGCACCATCACCCTGCAGGTGTGTGTCAGATATTCCTGTGGGCTTCCAGCTCTCCAGCTGGGTTACATTCAGTTGATAAAAACTGGTCCAGGACTTGGGAGAGCAGGAGTGCTTTTCTCTGTGCCCTTCTTTCCTGGGCCAGGCTTCCTTGCCCTCCACAACCAACCCATAGGACTGTTTCTGACATGGCAGGTTAATTTAGCCTTTTAGGAGTTTGGATAGCCTTCTAACTACAGTAGAGATTATCACATGGTGTTAATTTTTAGTGAAAACTATTTTAGCCTTCTTACAGATCTAACACTCCAGGTTTGGAGCATTTAATTCCAGCACTCACTGGGAAGGCAAGTGGATCTCTGTGACTTCAAGGCCAACCTGATCTCTATAGCAAGTTCCCAGACAGTCAAGGCTAACCCATCTCAAAAAAAGAGGAGGGAGGGGATTTTTAATAGCTGTCAGTATTTTAATTTTGGCTACTTATTTTGCATGGGTAGGTGTTTCTTGATATTAAAAAGTCTCAAGAAAGCATCAACACTAAATTAGCTATTTAGGAGTATTTCTCACTATTTTTTTCTATTGGGGGTATTGCTGAGTTTTCTTTTAGATAGTGTTATATATGTCTTGATTATTTTTTCAGTGTTTTCTTCCTGCTCTATAGCATCTTTCTTAAAGAAAATCCATTCAGTGGCTGAAGGTGCAGCACAGGGGTAGAGTTGTGCTTAGTATGCTGACACCCTGAATCCGATTCCCAGAATTTAAAGCCAGCAAACCATGGCTTATAAACAAGCCTGTTGAATCTTATGCTAAGTCACCCAAATTGGCAGCAAGGAAATTAAGCTGGAGGAAAGGTGGTTAGGGCATCCAACTTTAGCTTTCCATGAATGAATAATTGTTTTCTAGGTAGCAATTAAAAACTAGCTGTGCATTAAGCCATGTACTTGTAGTTAATAAGCCAAACACATGATAAGTGGTTTCAGAGCATTTCCTATACGGCGCTCTTCCTCTAAAGTGTGGAAGGTTTCACCACTGTTCCATTTCCCCCTGGCAGCTTTTCTCCCAAAGCCATTTAAAGTATATACAGTAGACATTACAGAGCCTTTTAGCAGACATTGTAACAAATGAAGTCACTTAACTATATTTCTTCCATGTCTATTACTTGTTCTTATCTAGGTAGTCTGCTGAGTCCTGTGTGCTTATCTTTGTTATGAGGATGTCACTGTGTAAAAGATCACTAGCAGACTTTGCTAGAAATGGTTATTTCTTGTCTGTCTCATGTGATCTACTGTTTTATCAAGGGAGATGAGAGCTAAAGGGGACTAAAGGCCTGCTGTCTATTACACTGAAGGTCATGTCACAACGTCAGAATGAAGTAAGTGACGTATTATATAAATACAAAATACAGATAAGTCATTGTGGTAGTTTGAATGTAGTTGACCCCCATAGGCTCATCGGGAGTGTCACTGTTAGAGGTTTGGCTTTGTTGGAGTAGGTTTGGCCTTGTTGGAGGAAGTGTGTCACTGTGGGGATGGGCTTTGAGGTCTTATATATGCTCAAGCCACACCCAGTTGGACACTTCACTTCCTGTTGCCTACTGAGCAAGATGTAGAACTCTCAGCATCTTCTCCAGCACCATGTCTGCCCATATGCTGCCATGTCCCACATGATAATAATGAACTAAGTCTGAAACTGTAAGCTACCCAATTAAATGTGTTCCTTTATAATAGTTGCCATGGTTGGCCCGGTGGTGGTGGTGCATGCCTTTAATTCCAGCACTCAGGAAGCAAAAACAAGAGGATCTCCATGAGTTCAAGGCCAGCCTGGTCTACAGAGTGAGTGCCAGGATAGGCTCC